CTTCCATTCTTCAAGTTTCAATTTTCAATCTTTTAAACTTCATTTTTCATAAGTGTTTGGCATTCGGCTTGTAGTACCAGTTGCCACTAATACTGTTAAGTGCCTGGCGCTCGGCCAGAATGCCATTTGCCACTCGGCATTGGTTTATTTTGAGCAAGTGTTTGGCGTTCGACTTGTAGTGCCAGCTGCCACTGACTTTGCTAAGTGCATGGCGCTCGGCTAGAATGCCACTTGCCACTCGACATTGGTTTATTTTGAGCAAGTGTTTGGCGCTCGGCTTGTAGTGCCAGCTGCCACTAACTTTGCTAAATGCCTGGCACTCGGTTAGAATGCCACTTGCCACTTGGCATTTGGTTTATTTTGAGCAAGTGTTTGGCGTTCGGTTTATAGTGCCAGCTGCCACTGACTTTGCTAAGTGTCTGGTGCTCAGCTAGAATGCCACTTGCCACTCAGCATTTGGTTTATTTTGAGCAAGTGTTTGGCGTTCAGCTTGTAGTACCAGCTGCCACTGACTTTGCTAAGTGCCGGGCGCTCGGCTAGAATGCCACTTGCCATTTGACATATATTTATTTTCATGCAAGAGTTTGGCGTTCGGCTCGTAGTGCTGGTTGCCACTTTTTCTATTACGTGGGAAGAATGTCAATTAATCTTTAAGCAAAGTAAACTTTTTTCATAAAACTTGAAAATTTCGTACACTTGCAAGTATGTAATTCAAAACGAGTATATTGTTTGGAATTAAACTCTACTTCTACTGGTAGTACCTTTTCAGAGACGTGGCATTCCATGGTTTACTAACCAACCTTCCTGCCATGGTCTCCAGGACGTATGCCCCCTTCTCTATGACTTCTGCAATTCTGTATGGACTTTCCCATGGCGAAAACATCTTTTTGACTATCCCCACCTTCCTTTTCAAAACCAGATCGCCAAGGGCGAAGTCTCTGTGTTTCATCCTCTTGTTATGGCTATTTACGAGCGTCTGTTGATAAGAAGCAAGCCTTATTGCGGCTGCTTCCTTTTTCTCCTTTAGCAGATCAAGATTAAACCTTAATATTTTATCATTCTGCTCTTGATCCCATGCCAAGCTTCTAACGGTTGGAACTAAGTGTTCGACTGGTATCACTGCCTCGGTGCCGTATGCCATAGTGAATGGGCTCTCCCCGGTCGGCCGTCTTAGGGTTGTTCTGTAAGCCCACAAGACGTTCGAAGCTCATCTAACCATTTTCCTTTTCATTTTCGAGCTTCTTCTTGATGCAGGCAAATATTGTCCTGTTCGTGATCTCAGCTTGACTATTAGCCTGGGGATGACTGACTGCTGCAAACTTCTGATTAATTCCATATTCTTCCAGTAGCTCCTTCACTTGCTTGCTATCGAGATTGGTTCCATTGTCCATAACGATCGACATTGGTACGCCAAAACGACAGATAATATTATTCCAGATGAAGTGTTTTACTTGAGTTTGGGTGACACTAGGGTATGGCTCTGCCCCACCCATTTGGTGAAGTAATCAGTTGCTCGCAGAACATACTTGTTCTGCGATCTTGCGATCGGCAGAGGGCCAACCACATCCATCCCCTACTGCGCGAATGGCCATGGCGTGGCCATTACGTGCAAGTCTTCAGGTGGTTGGTGTATCAATGGTCCGAACCTTTGGCATTTATCACATCTTCTAGAGAATTCTTCTGCATCCCATGCCATGTTTGGCCAAAAGTACTCTTGTGTCATTGCTTTGTGTGCCAAAGATCGTCCTCTTGAATGATTTCCGCATACACCTTTATGAATGGTTCGTATAATCTGTCTAGCCTCAGTTGGGGTAACATACTTCAAGTATGGACCCGAAAAGGACTGTCTGTACAACTGATCACGCACAATAGCATATTTCGCAGTGTTGGACCTAATTTTTCTTACTTCATCTTTCTGTTTGGTTAACACACCATCACATATAAAAGCCATGATCGGATCAATCCAGCTCGGCTCGTATGGTATAACATTAACTTGCTGAGCGCTTGGATCAGGCTGCTCATAAAAAATGGACGGCTGGACCAACACGTCAATCGGGATGACCCTAGCTAGTGCTTCTCCAAAACTGGATGCATTACAAGCCAAACAATTGGCATCTTCATTATACTCCCTCGGCAACTGAATGAACCTGATCTGATCAAAATCTTTCGCCTCACGCAGAACTGCGGTTCGGTATACTTCCATAGTCTTATCTTTAGTTCCGTATTCTCTAGTTACTTGCCAAACGATTAGCTGTGAATCGCTATAAGCAGTTAGATTCTTGATCTTCAGCTCTTTAACTAACTTCAACCCAGCTAATAGTGCCTTGTATTCAGCCTTGTTGTTGGTTGCTTTGAACTCAAGTCTGATCGCTTGGCTCAGCGTGGTGCCCTCTGGTGTTTGCAATTTGATTCAAATTCCTACCCCCATTTGATTTGAAGAGCCATCTACAAAGAGCTTCCATAAGGAACAACTATAATCTTCCTCCAAGTCTTCAACATCACATTTAAGTAGGAAATTAGCCACCGCTTGACATTTGATTGCCATTCTGGGTTCATATGTAATATCAAACAAGCTCAACTCGATGGCCCATTTTGTCATTCTTCCTGATAGGTCTGGCTTGTGCAAGATCATCCTTATAGGAAAAGTAGTTAAGACGACAATCGGATGGGATTTGAAATAATGCCTAAGCTTCCTTTTCACGTTGACCAATGACAAGATCATCCATTCGGCCTTTGAGTACCTTCTTTCCGGCTCGGCCATTATTTTGCTGACATAAAACACTGGGAATTGCTTTTCGTCTTTGCAATGGATCAAAACGGCACTTGTCGCGATGCTGGATACCCCAAGGTACATAAAGAGCTTCTCATTTGGCTCAGGAGCAGATAGAACTGGAAGGTTTCGCATGCAATATTTCAGGCTGGTTAATGCCTGTCGTTGTTCACCCCCCCACGCTTGCCTCCCATGGCCTCGAATTGTGGCAAAAAATGGTTTACACCGGTTTGAGAGCTTAAAAATGAATCGGCTCAGTGCAGCTATTCGACCTGTGAGTGCCTGCACTTCCTTAATTGTTTTTAGTTCTGCATTTCTGATCAGAGCTTTTGCCTGGGCTGGGCTAGCCTCAATTCCTCTATGATTGACCACATTTCCCAAGAATTGACCAGAGCTCACGCCGAATGAACATTTATTCGGATTAAGCTTCATTCCGTACTTCCTCAACACATCGAACACATCCTGTAAGTGCTCTAAGTGATCATCCTTCTTCTTATTCTTGACCACCATATCATCAATGTAAGCCTCTACAGTTCTCCCCATTTGGCTTTTGAAAATCTTGCTGATCAACCTCTGATAAGTAGCTCCAACATTCTTTAATCCGAACGGCATGACTTTGTAGTAGTAGGTCCCTCGTTCAGTAACAAAAGAAGTTTTCTCTTCATCAATTGGGTCCATATGGATTTAATATAACCAGAATAAGCATCCAGGAAGGTTAGTCGCTCGTGCCCAGTGGTGGCATCCACCATTTGATCAACCCATGGCAATGGGAAACTATCCTTTGGGCAAGCTATGTTCAGATTAGTGAAGTCAATACATACTCTCCATTTCCCATTCTTTTTCTACACAACAACGACATTGGAGAGCCAGGCTGGGTACTGAACCTCTGTAATGAATCCTGCCTCGAGCAACCGATCAATCTCCTCAGCTATGATTCGATTGCGTTCTGGAGCAAATCTTCTCTGTTTCTACTTCAGAGGTTTTGCGCTTAGATCTACATTAAGGGAATGACAGGACACAGAAAGACTAATCCCTGGCATATCTGAATGGCTCAATGCGAATACATCTACATTCCGAGTCAAGAAGTCAACCAATCAGGTTTTTCCTCTTCAGTAAGTCTAGATCCCACCCTCGTTGTTTGGTCCGGCTTCTTATGGTCGATTTGCACATCAAGAAGAGGTTTTGCGGTCAGAACTGGCGGCTCCTCCTCCCCACTTTCACTGGGTGGAGGTTCCTGTAATTGCTATCTTGGACTGGCAGAACGGATGGGATTTTCCCCCTTTCCAGTAGATTTTAAAGTCACTGAATAACATTCTTTAGTTGTAACCTGGTCCCCATGAATGTTAATCACCTTGGTCCTGTCTGGACCCAAGCATCGTATCACTTAATATAGGGTTGATAGGACACCCTGAACTCTGTGAATCCACCCTCTTCCCATCAAAAGGTTGTAGGATGGATGCATTTTTACGATCACAAAACTCTCATTCAAAACTCTCTCAGCAGCTTGTACTGTCAATTCCACCATTCCAATGGGCTCCACCCACTTCCCATCAAATCCTAGCAATGGATTTCCTGTGGGTTTAAGTTTTTCAGGTTCGATCTCGAGCCAGTCGAACGTCACTCTGGGCATAACGTTTGCACTGCTTCCTGGGTTAATCAGAACTCTTCGTACTAGTCATTCTGCTACTGTTAGACTGATGACCAGTGGATCTTCATGAGGAACCTGAACGAGTAGCAGATCTGTTCTGTCAAACTTTATCTATACTGATGCGTTCTGCTGATGTAAAGCATGTACACTGCCAATTTTTCTCTTCAACTGGGCCTGGCGTAATCGCGTTCTGAGCAACTCCTCTGACTCCGTTGTCTGTTCAGGTCGGCCATGAATTGCATTTATAATCTGAATGGGCTGAGTGCTGTGGTGGTTCAGCTTCTGATTTCTCTTGATTTGTTCAGCCGGTTGGTTCTGCTCTTGCGCCAAACCTTGAACATATCCTGTAAATTCCCCCTTTGTGATCAGCATCTCCACTTATCTCCTTAGGTTCCTGCATTCATTAGTCTAATGTCTAAAATCACTATAGAAAGCACAGTATCTAGTTTGATCCCTCTGTTCAAGAGGTTGTCTGATTGGTAAGGGAGGGTGAAACTTATCTTTGTTCTCTTGATAAAGCCTTGCCAGGGTGACTCTGAGTGGAGTAACCAACTCCTCCTCCCTGAACCTTTTTTTTGCCTTCTAGGAGGTTTGACGTTGTGGCTGAGCTTGTTTTTGCCGGATCTTGGCTTTGGACTTCTCTTCTGTTGAAATAATTGACATTTTCCTTGCATTAGCTGCCTCTTCTTCTTCAAGATGCACAAAACCATCAACTCTCTCGTTTAGCTCGTCCATGGTCTTCGACGTATTGACCACCAAGCTTGTGTGGAACGGTGTACCCCGGTTCATTGCAAGTTTAAATGCTTGGACCGTTATGGACGGATGACATTCCATTACCATGCTTTTAACAAGGTTAAACCAGGTGAGGAAAGCTTGGAGTTGTTCATCTTTATGCTGCTTCATTGTGAAAAAGCTTGATACATCCTTAGCCGAGCGTTTATTCCCATAGTACTGGCTTATGAACTTGTCACACAAGTCCTGGAAACTAGCGATTGAGCCTTGAGCCAGATTCTTGAACCAATTGAGGGCTGGTCTAGCCAAACTTGTAGGGAAGCACTTGCACATCAAAGGATCATTGTTAGTATTCAAAGCCATTCTCAACTGAATGTGGTAGATGTGGTCGACCAAGTCGGTTGTTCCATCAAACAAAATGAATCGGCATGGAAAACTTCTTCGGATTCGGCGTGTTTAGAATTTCATCAGTGAATGGAGATGCAACCGTCTTTGCTGATGAGCGCAATGCTTCGTTGTCCCTTAAAACCGTGATAGAATTCCTCGATCGACAGATCTCTTTTCTGAACTACGGTAGTCAAATGTTGCCACTGAAGGTCGATAGGGTGGATCAAACGATTTGTCCTCTATAAACTCACTTTGCCACGGTGATGCAACCCTATGATCACACGCTAGCGCTTCCTCTCGCATGATCCGTTCGTAATGTGGCTCCAAATGAATAGGTCATTCTCGATCCTCTACTTGACGGACATTTGGAGGTAGATCGTCTACTAGAACTTCGTCACGATGTGGATCTACGTGATTAACGCCTTCTGGATCACCTTGACGAACAACATAGGATGGTAAGACTCCCTCTCCATCCATAGGTGGCCTCGGAATTTTTGGAGCCTCACGACGCTCCATTCCAGTGCGCAACTCTGCATTTTCTTTTCTCAAGGCTTCGATCATGTTCATCAACTCATCAAGCTTCGTCTGCTGGCCATTCTCCAAAGGATTTGAGCTCTCCTCTCCGTTCATCATTCCTGATCGGAGCAAAGTCATTAATCGGGGATTCCTTGATCAGATCGAAGCTTTACTAATGTAAATGTACCAGATCTGGACTCAAACTTGTTGAATTATGTTCGCTACTGGCCAAATTCGAATTATTTCAGCTACAAGCTTGCCGAATTGAGCAATCTCAACAAGTCGTAACTGCGCATCTCGCTGGATCAAGCATAGATCAGATCTATGTAGATCGGACGCCAACCGCTTGAAATCAACTGGAACCAAGATTCATCAAGACAGATCACATTTCCATCAACCTTGATTCAACTTTCAGAGATCAAGCGTCTTCTTCACAAAGTGCTTTGAGTCGAATCGATCTGGACCAACACCAATTAATCATCTTCGTTCTTCCCACAGACGGCGCCAATTGAAAGTACAAAGAATTTTCCTCAATTGTAGAAACTTTACACTCCCAATAATTTTTGAACCCCTTTTCTTTCTCATTTCCCTCTATTTATAGACGGTTACAACCATTTAGACGGTTATAACCACTCCTGAGCTGAACCTATCTTCTTCCCTTTTGTTTGGGCTCAACTTTTTTCATCATAATATGGCTTCCATAATGACTTCCTGGACCTGGGCCCATTCAGCGAGGACTTGCTCCATCCTGAATATCCATACCCGACCCGTTCTTAGCAATATGAATTATACCAAGCCCGGATCATTTTTGGTGTCTTCAATGTCCCAAAGAGTGTTTTAATGAGTAAAGATTGAATATTTGAATGAAAACACCTCAATCAAGGTACCTATTATGTCATTAAACCATTTTAATGTACAAAGATTAAATCTTTCAAAGAAAATGAAAGTTTTGAGTTAAACTTATTCGAGTTCCCTTTGAGGTCACGAAGAGTGTTTTAATGAGTAAAGATTGAATCATTGAATAAAATTATCTCAATCAAGGTAGCGATTATGTCACTAGACCTTTTTAATGTATAAAACTTGAATCTTTGAAAGAAAATGAGAGTTTTGAGTTAAACTTATTTGACTTCCCTATGAAATCTTGACGAGTAGTTTACTGACTAAAGACTGAATCTTTGAATGAAAATACCTCAATCAAGGTACCTATTATATCACTAGACCTTTTTAAGGTATAAAGATTGAATTTTTGGAAGAAAATGAGAGGTTTGAGTTTAACAATGTTTTAATAACTAAAGATTGAATCTTTGAATAAAAATACCTTAATCAAGGTACCTATTATGTCACTAGACCTTTTTAATGTATAAATATTTAATCTTTAAAAGAGAAAGAGATTTTTGAGTTAAACTTGTTTGAATTCCCTTTGACATCCTAAAGAGTATTTTAATGAGAAAAGATTGAATCTTTGAATGAAAAATTCTCAATCAAGTAACTTATTACGTCACTAGACCTTTTTAAAGTATAAAGACTGAATCTTTGAAAGAAAATTAGAGTTTTGAGTTAAACTTATTCGAGTTTCCTTTGACGTGCCAAAGAGTGTTTTAATGAGTAATTGTTGAATCTTTGAATAAAATTACTTCTAACAAGGTACCAATTATGTCTTTAGACATTTTTAATGTATGAAGATTGAATCTTTGAAAGAAAATGAGAGTTTTGAGTTTAACTTATTCGAGTTCACTATGAAGTCGTGAAGTGTGTTTTTGGAACAAAAGATTGAATCTTTGAATGAAATTACTTCAATCAAGGTACCAGTTATATCACTAGACCATTTTAATCTATAAAGATTGAATCTTTGAATGAAAAAGGGAGTTTTGTGTAAAACCTATTCAAGTTCCCTATGAAGTCGCGAAAAGTGTTTTAGTGACTACAGATTAATCTTTGAATGAAATTACCTCAATTAAGGTACCAATTATGTCACTAGACCTTTTTAATAAGTAAAGATTGAATCTTTAAAAGAAAATAAGGGTTTTCAGTTAAACTTATTCGAGTTTTCTTTGACGTCTTGAAGAGTGTTTAAAAGAGTAAAGATTGAATCTTTGAATGAAAATTCCTCAAATAAGGTACCAATTATGTTATTAGACCATTTTAATGTATTAAGATTAAATCTTTGAAAGAAAATGAGAGTTTTGAGTTAAACTTATTTGACTTCCCATTAACGTCCCAAAGAGTGTTTTAATTAGTAAAGATTGAATCTTTGAACGAAATTAACTCAATCAAGGTAACTATTATGTCTCTAGACCTTATTAATGTATAAAGATTCAATATTTAAAAGAAAAAGAGAGTTTTGAGTTTAACTTAATTGAATTCCTTATGAAGTGGTGAAGAGTGTTTTAATGACTAAAGATTGAATCTTTGAATGAAAATACCTTAATCAAGGTATTTATTATGTCACTAGACCTTTTTATTGTATAAAGATTAAATCTTATAAATAAAATGAGAGTTTTGAATTAAACTTGTAAAAGTTCCCTTTGACGTCTTAAAGAGTGTTTTAATGAGTAAAAATTGAATGTTTGAATGAAAACATCTCAGTGAAGGTACCTATTATGTCACTAGACCATTTAAATGTATAAAGACTAAATCTTTGAAAGAAAATGAGAGTTTTCTATTAAATTTATTTGAGTAGCCTTTGACGATATGAAGAGTATTTTTATGCGTAAAGATTGAATCTTTGAATAAAATTACCTCAATCAAGGTACCTATTACGTCACTAGATCTTTTTAAAGTATAACGATTGAATCTTTGAATGAAAAATTCTCAATTAAGGTACCTATTATGCCACTAGACCTTTTTAAAGTTTAAAGATTGAATCTTTGAAAGAAAATTAGAGTTTTGAGTTAAATTTATTCGAGTTTCATTTGACGTCCCGAAGAGTGTTTTAATGAGTAAAGGTTGAATCTTCAAACGAAATTACTTCTAACAAGGCACCCATTATGTCTTTAGACCTTTTTAATGTATGAAGATTGAATCTTTGAAAGAAAATGAGAGTTTTGAGTTTAGCTGATTTCGAGTTCCCTATGAAGTCGTAAAGTGTGTTTTTGGGACAAAACATAGAATCTTTGAATGAAATGACTTCAATCAAGGTACCAGCTATATCACTAGACCATTTTAATCTATAAAGATAGAATCTTTGAACGAAAATGAGAGTTTTGTGTAAAACCAATTTGAGTTCCCTATGAAGTCGCGAAGAATGTTTTAGTGAATACAGATTCAATCTTTGAATGAAAATACCTCAATTAAGGTACCAATTATGTCACTAGACCTTTTTAATGAGTAAAGATTGAATCTTTAAAAGAAAATGAGGGTTTTCAGTTAAACTTATTCAAGTTCCCTTTGACGTCCCGAAGAATGTTTAAAAGAGTAAAGATTAAATCTTTTAATGAAAATTCCTCAATCAAGGTACCAATTATGTTACTAGACTATTTTAATGTATAAAGATTAAATCTTTGAAAGAAAATGATAGTTTTGATTTAAAATTATTCGAGCTCCCATTAACGTCCCGAAGAGTGTTTTAATTAGTAATGATTGAATCTTTCAATGAAATTAACCCAATTAAGGTAACTATTATGTCACAAGACTTTATTAATGTATAAAGATTGAATCTTTGAAAGAAAACGAGAGTTTTGGCTTTAACTTAATCGAATTCCTTATGAAGTGGCAAAGAGTGTTTTAATGACAAAAGATTGAATCTTTGAATGAAAATACCTTAATCAAGGTATTTATTATGTCAGTGGACCTTTTTAATGTATAAAGATTAAATCTTACAAAGAAAATGAGAGTTTTGAGTCAAACTTGTTCGAGTTCCCTTTAATGTCTCAAAGAGTGTATTAATGAGTAAAAATTGAATGTTTGAATGAAAACACCACAATGAAGGTACCTATTATGTCACTAGACCATTTAAATGTATAAAGATTAAATCTTTGAAAAAAAATGAGAGTATTCTGTTAAATTTATTCGAGTAGCCTTTGACGACATGAAGACTGTTTTTATGTGTAAAGATTGAATAGTTGAATAAAATTATACCAATCAAGGTGCCTATTATGCTACTAGACCTTTTTAATGTATAAAGATTGAATTTTTCAAAGAAAATAGGAGTTTTGAGTTTAACTTATTTGAGTTCCCTATGAAGTCGCGAAGAGTGTTTTAATGACTAAAAATTGAATATTTTAATGAAAATACTTCAATCAAGGTACCTATCATGTCACTAGACCTTTTTAATGAATAAAGATTGAATCTTTGAAAGAAAATGAGAGTTTTGAGTTTAACATATTCGAGTTCCCTATGAAGTGGCGAAGAGTGTTTTAATGACTAAAGGTTGAATCTTTGATTGAAAATAACTCAATCAAAGTATTTATTATGTCACTAGACCTTTTTAATAATTAAAGATTGAATCTTTGAAAGAAAAT